CGTGTGAAGGGTGTTTGTGTCTACTGGGCTGTCACCGCCTCTACGCTTTCCAGAAGACAGAGCTAGGGGACACTTGGTTCTGAACCACACCTCCTAGAAGTTCCTTCAGTGTAGTTCTCTTGGCGCTAAGCCTCAGTTTTTGTTAATCTGAACATGTGTAAAAGCCCTCATTCTTGAAAGGTGGTGTTGAGTTCACGACTCTGGGCGGACACTTAGTTTGTCTCAACATGTCGAAAGTGCCATTTGACCACCTTCTGACTCCCTTGGCTGCTGATGAGAAACTGCTGTCGTTCTAATAGACGCTGCTTTCTGAGTGAGCTGTCCTCCTCCTCTGGGTCCTTGGACAGTCCTCTTGTGTTGCTCAGCAGCTTCCTGTCACGTGCGTGGGGACGGGTGGCTTCTTTCTGTCCTGTCTGGGGTATATTGTGTTTTCTGGTTCTGAAGCTACCTTTTCATTTTAGCCAGTTCTATAACTTGGCACTATTTTCTTTTTAAATATTCTCTTCTCCTTTATCCTCATTATAGCCTTCAGAGTGTTGGATTTTTAAAACCTTTTAAAACTTCTTACATTATCTTTCGTATCTTCTTGACGTTTCCCACCTCTTCGTCTCTCTGCGCCGCATTCTGGGTGACGTCCTCAGCGACGTCCCCGTTTCCCTGCCTCTCCCTCCAGCTGTGTCCAGTCTCGCTCCCGAACCGACGGACTGAGTCTGTCCGTCCACGTGGTCTTCTTTTCCAACCGTGTCTGTCTGATCTAGTCACCCCGCGTTGATTGGTCGTTTTTGTTGTACCTGTTCTATATTGTTTCTGACAATGTCGCTATCTTAGGTGTCTGAATCTACAGGGTGTTTCCCACTGACTTTCAGTCAATCACAGTGACTTGTTTTTTGATTAACTAGTATTTGCGGTTGCACTCACTGCTCGATTTGGATTGGGGGAGGCCTGAGACCCACACTGGCAGTTGGAAAAGCTTCCTCCAGAGGGAACTGCTTCCGCTCTCCCCTGACGCCACTGTTGTTGAGAGCCTCGCTCAGCAGCAGCCTCAGGAGCCCTGCCTTTCCCAGCTGCTCACCCATGTTGGCCTCAGCCCAGCTTCGCTCCGCTCCAGCCCCAGTTCAGTGTTTTTGTTTGCTCATTTTGGGGAGCAGGAGGAAGTGAGAGTTCTCGCCACGTCTTCTGAGAAGGGCAGTGTCTCAGGTGGCGTTTTCATCCAGAACGTAGGGTTTAGTTATACTGCATGGTGGATGATGTGCCCTTAAGGCACCTGGGCACACCTCATGCCCAAGGCCGGCATCTGAGTGATGCCCTCTGAACGTCCTTTTCTATGGTTTAGTGGAGTTGGGCAGGAGTGGGGCTGGATGTGGGAATTCGGCCCACCATCTCTGCTAGGAGCCCCCCCACCAATCTCTTACCAGCGTCCTGCCCTCTGCCTCCTTCCCCCCACCGCCAGCAGCGGCTCGGCCGCGCTCGCGTTACTTGCTTGGTGTTGCTGACCGTTCCTCCAGCAGGTGCCCTGCTGGCACTTCCGCCGCCTCCTTGACACCCTGGCTCTGGGTCCTGCCACCTGCTGGGCCCTCCGTAGCCCCCTGAAAACCCAGCACACACATTTCTCGCCTGCGCGAGAGGCCTGCAGCTATCAACGTCGATGTGTGGACAGCTTCGTTTGGCTCGGTGTCCCTCCCCTGTTCAGTACACGCCAGCACCACAGAACGAACAGGAGCCTCAGCAGTGACCTGTCCTCACTCATTCCCTCCCTTTCCCTGGGCTGACCCAGCTGGGCCCAAGCCTTCTTGAAGTTAATACTGCAAACAGAACCAACGGAGACCTCTCCGGAGTCATGCGAGACCCCAGTCTGAGTGTCTGTATTGCCCGTACATCAGAATGAACCCAGCATTTGGCCATTTCCTCCCACTTCCCCCATATCTCTGTGGACAGACCTCCCTGTCCTCCGTGTTCGTGACTCCTAGCCCATCCCTTCCCCCGCCGCCCCGCGCCCCCCTCTGCTGTCAAAACGACCAGTGTACTCTTTACGTCGTACACTGATGACTTGTTATTTCTCACTCAAAGCCTTGCCATGACACCACACCTGCCTCTTCTGCTCAGAGGTGGGCTCATCAGTGAGGGCGGACCCAGCTGCCTTCCTGCAAGAGTGTCCGGCACCACCATCGCCATCACCACTATTACCGTTATCGGTATCATCGCCACCGTCACGACATCGTCATCACTATCATCATCACCACCGTCACCACCGTCACCATCATCAGTACCGCCACCCCAGCACCAGCGCCGGCAGCAGCGTCCTCCACCCCCTTCTCCAGAACCGGAGCACTCGCGTCGAGCACGGGAGTCCTTGGCTGGCTTCCAGCGTTTGTCTCTCTAATCTCAGTGCTTTAATACAGCAGAGATTGTTTCCAAATCGACTGTAGATCCCAGATCCTCTCCAGGGTGGGTGTCCTCAGTATGTCGGCCTCTGGTGGCTTCTCAAAAGCCTCTCTTTGTTGACATGTGCTTTGGGGTTTGGAGCATCTCACACGAGCAGTAAATGTTCTGGCCCCAAATGATACTTGTCGTTTCTCCCCCTGCCCAGGGCCCCGCCCACCGCTTGCTCCCTTAAGGAGGGGAAGGCAGTCGTGGATGTCCACAGGGGTCTCCACCGCAGTATCCTGCCCCAGTCTTGTAGTGTCCTTACGGGATTTTACATGTCCTGTAAGGAGCAGGTGGTTTGTGAATCCGGTCTGCCGGCCTCTGCCATTTGACCAGAGTGTGTGGTCCATCTGTAATCTGGCTGTGCGCTCAGCATTGAGGTCTACTTCTGAGTTTTGCACTCAGGCTTGGGAACATGGTCAACATGCTCGATCATATCCTATACGTAGTAATCCCAACACCGGCGGCTTTTTGGGTCTGATCTTGAAGTCTGCTATTTCCTCTGACTTAGAGGTGTCCTACTGGTTTTCCCATGTGTTTGATGGGTTTTGATTTGTGAGTTCATGTTACGGTGGGAATTCTTTGAGTCCTGAGACCCTGGTGTGGTCTCCAGGGAGGATTCGTGCTAATTTCTTCCAGTTGCCTCAGGACGTTACCAGCCCAGGATTTTTTAAGCGAAACTTTTAAGTAGGATTTTTCACATCTCATGCCCTTGTGAGCATGGGCTTATATTCAGGAATTTTCAAGGCTAATTTTTTCTTTTCTACGCAGAGCCAAGTGTAAGAAAGGCTGTGCCTTTGCAGCGGGCGGGTGCGAGGAGAGGGGGCAGTGGGACCTGATTCTCCAGGAGTCCCAGCAGGGGGAAGATGGTGTGAGAGTGTTTCTTAGAATGCAGGGCTCCCCGTCCCCCACTGTTCTCCAGGGGCTGAGCCTAGCCTCAGCCTAGAACCCCCGAATAATGCATTCTGGTAGCACGAGGTCGTGAACCCTTGATCTCAGACCAGTGCCAGAAGCACTGAGCCCTCAGGGGCATCTCCCTAAGGTCAGGGACCTTGATGGTCAGTGGCCTGGGGGAGGGGACATAGTCATGCTCCTTTTCGTGCCTGTCATCGTCCTGTCAGCCATTGTACGTGCTGCATGTGTGCAGTGGGTCTGAACACCATTTTTACGTTATTCTGTTTCTTGCCATGTGCCCTTCTGTGAAGTCCGGGGCAAGGCAGTACTCCAGAGATGGGTAAGTGGCCTGTGTCTGCTTATCCTGCCCTCGCCCAGCGCCCATCTGGGAAATGCGAGGCCACAGCCACTGATGTCAAGAAACAGATTGTCTTTATTCAGGTGCACAGATTGGTAACGTGACAATGACAGGTGAAGTGTCCCAGCCTGCCCCCCTTTACTTGTCTCTTGCTGTGCTACCTGGTCAGGTGCCAGGAGCAGTAAGCGCCGGGTGGCAGCCTCGCTCTGAGGAGCAGGTGTGGGTGCGGGGCTGCGGGGCCAGCAGCTGCCCAGGCACCAGGTCGGAGGCATTCCTCAGCCGCGAGCAGTCTGGGTCGCCCGGGCCTGGGCGCCTGGCTCTCCTGCAGCACCGACCAGCCGGGCGCTGTGTGCACGTCCTCTGCATGGAGGACAATGCACCACACAGTGAAAATGGCACCGGTGTGACTTAGCGCAGACTGAGCCTCCACGAGCGGGCAGGCCTCGGACGTGGGGGCCGCGAGGGAGAACTTGCAGCAAGGAGGCGCCTGCTCACGGCCCAAGGCACGTCTGTGCAGAGGCGTCTGTCAGCAGCGGAGCTCAGAGAGGTGATGACAGCGTTGCCCACTGAGCCCGCTCGCTGTGTGGCCCCAACCCCAGAGACTGGGCCAGGGCCACCAGGCAGGGCTCACACACAGTTGTCAGGGATGCACTCCGCTTCCTCCTCCAGCTCCGGGCAGGGCGCCCCGTGGTTGGCGGGCTGCACGCGGACATAGCGTGTCCTGCTCTTGGCTCCCAGCTTCCCGCATGGACCTCCACACAGCCCCCAGGAGGACCACAGGGAGACCTCACAGTCCAGTGGCGTTTCTGGAACTGGACCAAGCACAGGGGAGACCCATGAGTGTGTGGTGGGGGAGCGGGAGGAGCCCCAGGGCGGTTCACCCCCAGACCAGCTCCAGACTGTGGCGTGCAGAGGAAATACTAGCTGTTCTCAGCACGGTTCAGAGTCAGTTGCAAGAAGATGCCACCAATGCACCTAAAAAGCCACTGAACTGACTTGACGTCATGTTTCTCTGCTGAGAGCCGGGGCTTTGGGACTGACTCTGGCACCATGGTGGTAGGAGCCCCGAGAGACTCTTAGCTGTGTTCCCAGAGGAGAGAGTGGGGACTGCTCCTGTTGGGAAACGTCCTTCAGGGGGCACACACTGAGAGTCTAGATCTCCTGACGTGTTTTGGAGCTGACCACAGTGGGAGTGTGGCCCCCATGCTCAGCTAGCACCCGACACACAGGTTCCCTGTCACCTCCGCTGACACCCCACCAACCCCTTTGCTGGGGAGGGTACAGAGGGACCCACTGAGTGAGGTGACCTTCCTGTCAGTTGTGACATGGGCCACGTGCACACCTCTGACGGGGCTGGGGTTATTCCATACCTCACTTCTGGGCTGTGGACATGTGAGCTCTCACTCACAAATGTTGGGCAAGGGTTCAGTCTTCAGTTTTGAGTTTGAATCAATCAGCTACCAAATTTCTCAGCACCCACGTCTTCGTGCCAAACGCTCTGACCGCCAGAATCTGCGTCATCCTTCCCGAATGTTCTGAACCCTTTGGACTCATGTCATCTTGTGCCAAACGCTCTGATCTCTAGTATCTGGGTCATCCTTCCTGAGTGTCTGAACCTTCTGGACCCGTGTCATCTTGTGCCAAACGCTCTGATCCCCAGAACCTGCGTCATCCTTCTCGAACGTTCTGAACCCCCCGGACCCGTGTTATTTTGTACCAAACACTCCGACCCCAGAGCCCTCGTGGTTTTGAACTCATTTTTGAAGTCACTCAGAGACGCAGAGTCGTGTGGCCCTGAGCATGGTGCCTGGCTGACTGAGCACCAGCAGCCTCTCCCTGGTTTGATTCCCTTCCTGGACCCCTAGTGTCCCTGGTAGCCTTGATGGCCTGGTCTGGTTTGGCCTGGTGGTGGGGATGTCACACCCAGCAGCCTGGCTTAGAATTGGGTGACCTCATCTGCAAGTTGGAGTTGCCGTGGGGGAGTGCCATAGAGGTGGACAACGTGGCCTCGTCCCTGGACTGTCTGTCGCCCTTCATGGGGTCATGTGGCAACCAGCTTGGCCTCCAGTAGAGTGGCAGATGTCAAGGTGTTGTCACTGCCACTTCACAGACACTTGGGCGTTTCTGGCCTCTGTGTATCGCTTTCTCTTTCTCCAGGGCGGACAGTCACCTTTGGGGTTAGTCTGAGGGTGAAAGCCGGCACAGAAGGCTCAAGATCCACAGTTGCCTGTCGCAGTGAGGGCGGAGCAAGTCCCCGTGTGACACACAAATCTGCCCCCACACTCCAGTGGTGGACATGCAGCTTCCATAAGCCTGAGCGCTTGGCCCCAGAATCAAGACTGTTGAGGTCAGGGAACGTGGCGGTCGGCCACGCGGTGGGGCGGGAGCCCGGCTTACCTGAGAGGCTGTCCAGGATGTCATTGCCCGCCAGATCCATGGCGGGCGGGATGAAGGCCCTGGGGCTCTGCCGGAGCCGCACCAGGGTCACCCTGGCGATGGGGGGCAGGGTCTTCAGCCGCGGGTAGTAGAAGGAGTTGGCCGGGTGGCTGGGAGAGGAGGATGTTATCTGGGGAGTGTGGGAGGGGGCGTCAGCACTGGCCGAGGATGCAGCAGCCCACCTGCACCTGCTGTGTGCGTGGCCCCAGATGGAGCTGGGATGGGGTCCAGCAGAGTTGCACAGAAAACAGACTCAAACCTGGGCTGCTGCTTAGTGACACAGCCCAGTGAGGCCTCTGTGGCTCCTTGGGGTGCTGGGCCCGTGGCCTGGGAAATGGACCAGGGAGGCCTGGCCTCCTCCAGGCCCCTCCTTGCTCCTGCCCTCCCTCCCCACCTGCAGCGCCACCAGCTCCTTGTCTTCTCGGGTAGCTGCACCCCTGCTCACTGGGACCCGACAGGTGCCATCTAAACAATGGGCACAGCTGGGCGGCAAGAGCTGTCCCAAATGGCCAGTGCCATCACACCTTCTCTAAGGGCCGTCATACCCTCACCTCGGTCACCGTGTCCTGTGGGATGGTCGCAAAGTTGGGGGAGGAGAAGGTGAAGCCACTGTCTGTTCCGGCATCGTGTGGGTAGAGGTCCACGGAGACCTCCTCCCTCCAGTGGTCCCCATCACACAGGTCCAGACTGTCGATACCCACAAACCAGTCGGGGCTGGGGACGATGCGGACCACAAAGGACACCTGGGGGAGGGAGCCGGGCGCTCAGCAAGGCCGCCACCACAGCCCACCCACACCCCTGCACTCCCTCACGCCGCCCGCCACTCACGAGCGAGTGCCTGGCCTGGGCCTCGAGCTCCGCAGAGGTCTGCCCGGTGCCGCTGGGCACGGCGGGCGCCGAGAACACTGTGTGCACGCTCTGCAGCCTCTCCCCGGCAGCCTGGATCTCCTTCATCAGGGCCCAGGCCTCGCCGCGCTCCGCGAAGTCCCTCAGCCCGTTGCTGGCGTACTGGTCCTGTCTCCACAGGCTGTAGTCGGAGCTGTGCACGGCCCCTGTGGACCCGCCGCCTGAGCAGCCACCCAGAGTGCACGCCAGCCCTCCTTCCCACCCGCAGCGTGCGGACGCCCCGCAGCCTCACGCTGCTGGTGGGGCCGGTGTCCAGCTGGCCCTCCCCATGACTCTGGCCATCCTGTTCCCACCATGACCCCAGAGCCCAGGTCATCAGCAGCTGGCATGTGGTAGGCACCCAGCAAGTATTTCTTGCAATGAAGTGTATTAAATGAGAGCGCTCTCCAAACTGTGAAGTGTGGAGAAGCCGTTGGGTGACTGTCCGCTCCCAGGAGGACACACAGAGAGCAGGCAGCAGGGACGTCACTTACCCAGCAGGGAAGACCACTGTGCGGGGGGCCGGAACAGAGGGTACTGCTTGGGGAAGGCCGTCTGGCTCCACTTGCCCGTGAAGGTGATGCTGTACTTGGCCAGGGGCCGGGCTGTGCACACGGTGTCTCCCCCCAGTGGCTGGCCGGCCGCAGAGCCGAGTGTGGCCAGAAGGAGAGCCCAGAGGGCGCTGCTGGTGGTCAGGGTTGGGGTTTCCATCACCTAGGAGATGAGGGAGCGCGCCACATGCTGGCATTGCCAGCCTCAGACACCCTGCCCTGCGGGGTGTGCAGGGAGGGGAAGGGACGAGGGACAGCCCCTGAACATTCCTCTGGGCTCCACCTCTCGGCTCAGGCTTGGCCTGAGCCCTGCGCAGGAAAGCGGAACCGGTCAGGTTACAGCTGGATTTGCAGGCGTGTCTGCAGGATCCCCAGGCTGCCTGGCAGGCTTAGGGCGCTGGCACCGGGAGCTTACACCCGGCTCGCACAGGCATGGCATCCCCGATTCCACGCCCCCGGCACTGCCGGCCGAGGGCACCCAGAGCCTCGAGGGTGAACTCTGTAGACTCGCTCTGAGGACCACAGGGCCGGCTCGGGCTGCCCTCTGGGTGCTTCAGGTTCCCCCGGGAAAGCACCAGGGGTCTGGGGCGACTCTGGGGTGAGGGACAGAGGTACAAGGGATACTCACCCAGCAGAAGTAGCAGGAAGACAGGCAGCCGGGCTGTGGCATCAGGCCGTCTCAGCCAGAACCCAAGCTCCAACTTATGCGTAGGATGGCACCCCGGGTCCTCCGCCGCGGCCGGCAGAGAGGGCGGATGGGACGCAGGGGAGATGACTTCCCTCAGCGCTGCCGTGCTGCCTCTGAAGCCAGCAGAGGCCCCTCCAGCTGAGGTCACTCTTCACTCGCCGCACCCCTTTCTTTGTCTTTTCCTCCCCCCGCCCCCTCCCTCCTCTCGCTCCCTCCTGCTCTGCTTTCCCATCAAGCCCTTCCTAGTGTCTCCCTGGAGGTGGTGCCAAAGCCAGCGGTGGGGGTGGCGGGGCAGCCAGCGCTCCGCAGCCAAGCCACAGCCTGGTGCGGTGCCGGCTGGCGAAGCGAGGCCTGGGACACCTCCTCGCCTCCCAGAGCTGAGAGGGGGCCTCGAGGAAGCGTCCCCTCCCTCAGGGTGGGGAGGCAGCCACCCCCACCCCACAAGGATGCCGGCGCACACAGGACGTGCTGACAGATTCTGAAGTTTATTGCCACTCACCGGCTGGAACATGTTTTTAGAACTCGAGTCACGAGGTCTGGGAACTAGGGAGAAGGTGGGACAGTCCTCAGAACTGCAGGGGTCTTACAAGCGTAAACAGGAAGCACTCTGGTTTTTGGAACCTTGTTAATGTTTTACATGCTCCAAAAAAGAGAGTGAGAAAATAAATAGAATCGATAATAGAACGCAAACGAAAACAAATGATCCCCCCTGCATTTCAAGTAACCAACAGGGGCCCACGGGACCACTTGCGGGTCTGCGAGGAGGGGCCGCCTGGGTCTTCCGTGCAGACACAGGGCGTTTCATGAAAAGCAACTGTGTTTCTCAGAAGGAAGCCCCCGGGAGGACGGGGCCTGGCTCTCCAGTCTAGCCACTCTGCCTGGCCAGCTGTGCTGGGCCTCGGCGCCATCCGATGGGTGTGAGTGTGTGTGTCAGTCGCCGTGTGCAGTCCCCGCGTGCAGTCCCTGTGACGTGGTGAGGGAGGGCTGCACCGTCTGGGATCGGCGTGGTCACACGCGTGCGAGGGAGCATGGGTGGAATGGCAGGTGGCGCGTACCAGCTCTTATGTCTTGTTCTCCTTGGAGGAGCAGCCAGTCCTGTTTGAGGACAGAAGCAGGACATCGTGGCCAGGGACATCTTCGCAGGCCCGTTGGTTAGGAAACGCTCGTCTGCTCCCCCACGGTCCACCCAGGCACAGGCCGTTCTCACCTGCTGTCCGGCTCTGGTGGCCTCAGGGCTTGCCCTGCAACGCCGCCGCCCAGTGTCATCCGAGGCTGCGCTCCCAGCCCCCAACACCACGCGGAAAGGCGGCGCCTGGGGTGTGTGTCCAGTGGGGACAAAGGCCAGGAGACCTGGGGCGGGGCAGGCCTGGCCTGGGAGGGGTGCTGCCTTTGGTGGAGTGTGCTCCCTCTTGATCAGCCCGAGGGGATTCTTGGGACACAACGGGATGGGGGACAGGACCCAATTCTTTGCTGTGCTCAGAAGGAACACAGAGGTTCTGGGACAGGTGACCTGTGGCCCTTTGGGCTGGACTGGGGCTTGGGCAAGGAGCCTGGCCAGTTGGGAGCTGCTTACACTGTGAGTCCCAGACAATGCTCTGACCCTCCGGCGCCCCTTCTGCAGACCAGGGTGCTACTTCTGCCTCCTGCCGAGGGTCAAGCCGCGGAGCATCGGGGAAACACTCTTCAAGGCGACCGCCTACGAACAGAGGGTTCCTCTGTGCACTAGGTGGGGACCCCCAAGCACCTGCCCAAGGTGAATTCATTCATTAACAGATATCAAGCACCTTCTGGACCTCAGTGCTGAGGACACAGAAGTGCCCTCAATAGACAAAAGCCCTGCTCCCCAAGTCTGCGGGAGGAGGGGCAGGAGGTGGACAGAATACTTCCAGTAGATTTTCTGTCACTCAGTGAGTGCTCGGTTAACTGGCTGACACTAATGCCAGGGTCCCTTCCTGTAAGTCTGTGGTCAGTTGCCCTCGAGGTGGTTTTAGGGGAATGAGGCTCGAGAGCGTGGCTGCAGGCCAGGACTCTACTCCATGCTCCCTGACTGCTCCCCACCCCCTGACCATAGCCACAGTGGGCATCCCCTCCCCTGACCCCAGCCTGCCGTAGCTCAGACTAGTCTAAGCACAGGATGAGCACTGACGAGCCCCCCGCCCAGGAGATCTGCAGTTTTAAGTAGTGTCTTTAGCCCAAAAGTGGCCTTTAGGCAGCTGTAGAGTCCCCCCTGACGGGGTGGGTCTCGAGGAGTCAGAGTCTGTGAGCTGCCGAGGGCAGGGAGTGCTGGCTGAGCTCTGGCCTCGGCTGTGGCCCTGCCGCGGGGCACAGAACCCAGGATGCCCCCAGGTGCTGGGCTCCGGTTGTACAGGGAAGGTCTGGTCACCTCTCCGGGTCCTGGCTGAGGGCCCTCTAGGCCTGGCCAACAAGGGCTCCTTCAGGGCCCTCCCTGGGCGTGGCACAGGCCCGACTCAACTTGGGCTGGGGGGCAGGCCAGAGTACAGGCCTGGCGTCTGGCACCTGAGGGGGACCCTGCCAGTCACACAGGCACACATTTGTCTGCTCACTCACCCAGTCACCAGACATTTACCAAGGGTTGTTCCTTCCAGACACCACAGCCTCTGCACACACAGCTCGCCCAGAGCTGCTGCAGTCTTGGAGGCCGACAGTCCCCAGTCGTGGCCCCCTCACCTACTGTCCCTCCTCTCAGCTCCTCCTCCCTGTGTCTGGGCTTCTTTCACCTTGACCAGAGGAGCACCTGGTCACACCTGTCCCACCTGGCTTTGTTTTCCATCGGGAGCCGGTCTAGTGCAGGCAGGCAAGGATTCGCCTCCGGAGTACAGGCCGACAGTTGTTGGGAGAGTGGGCAGACTGCGCTCAGCTCCCAGGCGCTTCAAAGCCGAGCTGCTGGCCCCACTCGCCCAGAGCCCGCCCGCCTCCCCGCTCCGAACGCCCTTCAGGACAAGGGGTTCTCTGAGCACCCTGCTTGGGCAGGGCAGCGTAGGTCCCGGACTAAGTTTGGCGGCCTCGGCAGTGCTGGAAGGACTGGGAAGGAGGGGGTGCGGGGCAGGGAGCCCCGCCGCCTTCTGCTCTTCCCCTGGAGCAATGCTAGTGGCGCCTTGCCTGCTGGACCACCTGCAGCACGACCCCGGCAACACGCCTGGCTCGTAGGGGCGTCAGAGAGCCCAAGCTCTGGCCGAGCGTCACCAAGACTGCTAGCCCCACTTTCCTGGAGGCTGCGCCACAGCTGGGCTGCAGTTTGGGAGGATGTGTGCTTCTGTCTGGCCACAAATGCAGGTTTGTCCACCTCGGTGCGACAGTCGGCCTCCCACGAACACAGGCCTGTTTGTCCAGTCACATTTACCATGGTGTCTTCATCCGAATCCAGAAGCCAGGGCCTGAGCAAACATGGCAGAGTGCGGCGTTTGAGAATGCCCTCCTTCGTGACAGCTAGGAGAACACAGGCAGAGGTGGTAGAGCAGAACTCCTCAGCACGGTCGGCCCTCACTGAAGCCTCGTCAGCGGGTTCTGCGACTGAGTGACGTGACACATAAGGAAACCAGCTGTCCCACCAGTGGGTGGTGTAATCAGTTAGGTCCCCTGGCCGCTGGGCGACGTAAGGGAAGGACAAGACTCAGGACTGGCCGTGCCATGAGAGCCCGCCGAAGGCTTGAGGCAGTCTTTGCAAAGGTCGTGGGTTTTTTTGTTTGCACTTTAAAAAAAAAAAAAAAATTGGCTAAACCTTGCTAAGAATAGGAGAACAGCAAGTTATGAGGTGTTTTTGTTTGCTCGTCTGTTTCTGCCATCTTCACTATTTTTAAGTGGACAGCTCAGTGGCATTAGACACATTTGCCTCGTCGCGCGGCCTCAGCACCATTCTCAGCTCCTCATCCTGTGTATCTAACACCCTGTCCCCACCGAACACTCACTCCCTGTCCCCTACCCTCCACTCCTGACGACCGCCGTCCTGCTTTATGAATGTGGCAACTCTAGGGACCTCGTGTAAGTAGAGTTATACAGCATTTGTCCTTTGTGACTTGAGGGCTTAGAGTAATGTCCTCCAGGTCCATCCGTGTCGCAGGCCTGCCAGGGTTTCCTTCCTCTCTGAGGCCGAGTCGCCTTCCACCGCGAGGACGGACCACGATGGCTCACCCTCGTGCGTTCACGGACGCTCGGGTCGCGTCCACGTTCGGGCAGCGAACACGCTGCTGTGAGCACGGCGTGCAGCCCCCTCCCCGAGACCCCGCGCTCGCTCCTGTGGGCGTGCGCTAGGAGTGGGTGGTTCTGTTATAGATTGTTCTAGGTCTTGCGGTGCTTCTACTGTTACATCTTTGAGGAACTTGCACAGTTCTCACAGCGGCTGCACCATTTTCCATTCCTGCGACAGAGCAGGAGGCTCGCGCCCCTCACCCACCTCTGCAGTGGTCTTGAAAATCCACAGCCCACACTCGTGGTGAAACCCAAACACTTGTCAACCCCGAGATGGGATGGAATTGGGTTGGAGCTCCTTTGAAGGGCGTCCCAGAAAGGTGTCCCTCCCTGACCTGCTCGGTGCTTTCTGGGAAGACCCCACCTGCCCTGCAGCCCAGTCTGACTTGATTCGGCGCTCACCCAGCATGGTGGCCTTCCCCCAGGAGAGCACGAACGGAGGGACACGGGCCTCTTCCAAGATGTGGCCCTGGGGAAAGGGGCCGCCACTTTCTCCACTCTTCACCCTCCAGGGGCCGGACGGGGCCTTTCCACTGCCCCCCACCCCCCAGGTGGAGGGCAGGAGGCTGCAGGTGAGGGAGAGGCGTCTTGAGCTGTGGGAGCGAGCAGCTCGCCCACCGCACAGGCGCAGGGACTGTGCCCCTGGCCTTCACTGCAGCTGGAGCAGCGTCCTCACTGCCCTTCCGGGTCCCTGCTGCTCGAGGAGTGAAAAGCCACTCACTTTTGCACACTCGCCTCGTGTCACGCTTTCTTACTGAATTTTAGTTTTTTAAACTAGGATAAAGGGAAGTCTGTAGGTTTACAATCATGTCGTTAGCACATACAACTTTATCTGTTTTTTTCTTAATGTTATGTCACTTGTTTGATTGTCTTATCTTCTCGCGTTTGCCAGACCCTCCAAGGAAATCCTGGCAGACACGGCCAGTGCCACAGCTGCTCCCCACAGGCCTGGGGACAGTTCT